GGGAAAGAGAACGGTGAGTTGGTTCTCTTTTTTGGGTTCTCTTTTGTGTATATTTTCATACTGTGAGAGGTTTTTTTGTAATATCTTTGTATGCATATATATATATATATGCCATCTATTTTCTATGTATTTACATATCTTGACACTCAAAGTATGGTATTTATATTCTTAACATTTAAATCATTCATATGACATAAAAAAATATCACATTTTGAACTTTTAAATTATATATATATATATGGGTAAATTTATATGGGGCCATTTTGGTTCACAATTTATAGAAGTGTCAAAATAACTTATAAATTTTTTAAATTGAGGGTAAAATAGTGCTCATGGAAGACTATTTGAGCTTAACGTTAAAATAGATGAGAGTTAATTTTACATTTTATAGATTCTAAGATCTAATCAGCCCCTATAAATAGTCTGGGATTATTTTGACATTTTACTCTATATATGTGCATGCGTGTTTGATTTAGGTGTCAGATATATAAATATATAAGAAACTAAGTGATAAAGTATGTAAATCTTCTTAAAAATTGAAGTTTAGTGGCTTTTTTAGGGATTCAGCAAATCGAGACGCAAAGCTAGTTTTGTATTACTCTAAATGCTATATTCTCTACCAACCATTTTAAAATTAAAATATTATATTTACAATGTTATTTAAAAACGATGAATTTGATTGTTAAAAAGTGATAATGAGTGCTACTTTTCGTATAATATAAGTAGTTATGAAAGTTTAAGAATGAGATAGATAAATATGAAAGTTTTGGATCATAAAAATGATCATTTTTGGCATAAAAAATGTGACTCAAAACATTTTTCGACGACTAAAATTGATCATTTTTGGCATAAAAAATGTCCATCAAAACAATTTCAATTGAATGAAAATCTTACAACAAATAAACAAATCATCCCGAACCGGTACATTAAATACATGACGCATTGAAGATATATATTCACATATTTCTACAGTTTATACTCTGTTTTTTTTTTCAATTATAAAGCTTCTTATCAGACTTCATTTCATGGCTGAAAACTGAACACAATTTACTATTTCTTTGCTTCAGATCGTAGTTCCTCTTCAAGTTCATCAAATTCCCAACCCCCAACTTCTTCACTGGAGAAATCAATCCCAACATTTCCAAATTCCTCCTCAAATTTAGCCAGCTCTGATCCTGGATCATTTTGCAGTTCCCTGCCCGAAGATTTTAATTTTGCGGACTTGTCTGGGGCGAACTTTGCAGATTTTGGAGACTCATTTGCAGACTTGGGTGAGGGAATTAACTCTGCAGCAAGAGAAGGATTATGTTGTTTCTCCTTGCGTGCAGCCTGCTCTGCAAGAGCCTCAATTTCTAGTATTGGCCTCTCAGTAGAGTTAAAATCTACTTTAATTTTCTCAATTTTGTTGAATAATTCCTTGATTTCAGGGTCATCTCTCCTGATTATAAAATTTAAAAAAAATAAGCCAAACAATTCTAGAATATAAGATGGGCACCTACTTCTTATGTATTTACATATCTAACACCGAATTTTACACTTTTAGCATCCAAATATTTCGTATCACAAAATCAAAATACCAGCATTTTAACTTTTAAAAAGTGAAATACATCTTTCTATGAATAGGTAAGGTTGCCATGAATGTACAAATTTATGCCGCGGTGTTAGATGCGTAAAAACATAGGAATTGACTTGTTTGTATGTAAATCTTCCATATAAAATAGGAGAATTAAGTGAAGAATAATCAATATGGTGGATCATATGAAATGAGATACCTGGATTGGTATCTTTGGTCTGCATAAAACATTTCTTTCATGTGATCAACCACACTGAAGGCAGTAACTATCTGGGGAGATAGAAAACAATAAATAGTAGTAAAAAAAATTATAAAAAGTATCCGTCTATAAACTCTTTGAAGGGAGAGTGATGGAAATAGTTTGAGATTAAGGACTTCGCAATAAAATTAATATGATGCGAAATAGGGATTAATGCACAATGACTAGAGAAGCAAAAGTACACGGGCAACCAATAGTTTAACAGCTTGCGTTTATAGAGATAAATATGTAATTACTAGAAATAAAACTCAAAAAAAAAAAATCTAAAATGATAAAGGTATAGATCAAAACCACCTAAAATTAGCAAGCAATTGTAATTTAGTTTCAAGATCACTACTAAGCAAGTTTCAAATTATGCAAATGAAATAAGAAATAGAAATAAAAGCATCAAACATTATGCTTGATATCAGTCCAAGGAGAAAACTTCACAATCAAATATTTGCACATATACCGCACTCAAGAAATCATACGACCAACTTGTATTCCTAAGATTAAAAACTAGAAAGTGAAAGTTTATCATCAGTATATTTATTTATAAACTCGTCAACCCCTAACACAATAGATATATTTTAGATTTTTAGTGGTTGATGCACTTCTGGTATTATTGGATTTTCATCTTAGTGCACAATAAATATGTTGATGTTTGATGTCATACAGGCATTGTATGGTTGTGTGATGCTTAGGTAGGGCTGCTAACGATCCGATTTCGAGCCGAGCTGAGGTCGGCTCAATATCGGCTTGAAAAAATTTGGATCCAAAATTTTGGCTCGTTCATTTCAATCAGATCTCGATCCGAGCCAAAATTTGAATAAATTTTCAAGTGATTAACGATCTTTGAGCTAAATTTGCTAAATTCACAGCCCTAACATTAGGACTGTTATTTCGAGTCGTGCTGGGGTTGGCTTGAAATCAGCTAAAAAAAATTTGATTCAAAATTTTGGCTCGTAGCACGTCTCGTTTATTTCGATCCGACCTCGATCTGAGCTAAAAATTCGAATCAATTTTCGAGTGATTAACAATCTTCGAGCTAAATTCACAATCCTATGTTTAGGCATTTGAGGCTTGGACAGAATAAGGGCTTGCAGAGTTAAGTTTAGAAATGAATCACAACAAATATCCAAAACTGTTGAATCAAGTGGAGAAATGGTACGATTTGATTCAATAATTTTGTTAGTGATTTAAAATAATAAATAGTCGTGGAAGAGTTGCTATTGCGCCTAGCTACTCTTAACATAAAGAAAATCTAACTCATGAGATCTAAACAGTGATAAGAGATTACAATAAATTGTGTTCAGAATGAAGATTAAAAATCTTTAGATAAATGATGTAAAAGATGAGAGAATAACCTACATAATGAGAGAATAAATAAAACAATGAAATCATGCAAGTCCATTTCATGATCAATTATAATCTATAAAAAATGACAAATTCAATATATAATTACCTTCCTCTCGGCTTCCAAATATTCCTCCTCAAGAAATTTCTTTGGGTTTGTCTCTTTTAAAATTTCATGATTAGCATCAGTAATCATTTCTGACCTGTAAAACATAAAATTGAGGTGCTTTTGCCACAAAGAGAGATCTACCAAGCTCTAATAAAACTTAATACCTTTCATTGAATCTCTTCAAGTTGTCAATAAACGTCCCTAGTTTATTTACAGAAGGCAGAAGTTCATCCTACAATGACCATTAGAGTAAAATGAGGAGGAAATTCCTTCTAAAATTTATGGTTCCCTAAAATCACAATTAATCTACCAAACACCAACACACATTTAAAAGGTGATATTGTCAAATTGAACTCCTGGTTACTCATACTCCAGGACCTCATGTCGGGCACTCCATTTGAAATACATTTTATACATTGTTTTGGGAAAATTTACATATATACCACTCAATTTCTATGTATTTCCATACCCAACACCAATAATTCAATTTTTACATATATGTCACCTTACCTATGCATGACAAGGTGCATCTCACTTTTTAAAAGTTAAAATAATGGTATTTTTTATATGATGTGAAAGATTTGGTTGATGTAAATTTAAAAAGTAAAATTTAGGTAATAGACATGTAAATATACAAGAATTAGTGGTATGTGTGTAAATGCCTCATTTTATTTTTTAATTTGACAACTTCTAGAACTCTTGAATGCTTAGTAGACTTATCTTCAACACTTTTTGCACATCAAAATTAATCTACGAAACACTTCACACTTATAGAAAGTCATATCATCACGTTAAGCTCTTGAAAACTCACACTACAGAATACCATCTCCGGTACATTTAGAATGTCTCATTTTTTAATTTTTCTAAACAAATTCAAAACTTCTTACACTCTTGGACTAAGATATCCACTTAAAGAATATCTCCAGGATACTTCTTGGCTGTCTCCTTGGTGGACCGCGCCCACCGACCCACAGACACACCCACGCACGCATGCCTGCCCACACCCTGACCCGCGGCTGTACTCACCCACGGCATCGCCCGCGCCTACCCGCACACGCACGATGAATTAATGAAATGTAATTAAAGCAAATGAAATTCACCTTCAATGCTGAAAGCCGGAATTTGATCAACTCCGACAAATAGCTGCCCCACTTGTCCAACTCGTCACTACATTAGAGGGGACAAGCAAAAAAAGTTTCAGGTTAGTATTAGAAAAAAAAAAGAGCAGAACTTTTCAGCGAGAGTTGCACTGTAGCATTCAACCAACAATTGTAGTTACAAAATAATAATAAACATCCGAGTATGTAATTATCTAAAAGATTATCATTGTTATATCCTGTCTTAGAGGAACCAAAGTAAATTTTTTTTCCTAGATTGATGTGTAAATGTAAAATAAGTACTTGATTTACAAGGGATGGGGAGTATCAGTATGGTATCCCGTCCTACTTGTGCTTTCCATAACTTTGACAAGATGCATTCTTAAAAAGAAAATTATTACAGGCCTTTCATAAGGGGGAATAATATTTGATAACCAATGTATTCTATAAAGAACGAGCGAGTTTGGTGGATGCCTATCGACCTTAAGTAGAATTTTTTTTTTTTTAACATATTAATACCTATTATGATGCAAGTATTCAAAGTTGCTCCTCAGTTATTGTAAGTTGATTTGAATCCACATAGTTTTCAGTTCAAGTCAAGTAAAACTTAATTAAAATTGACACGCCATCAGCCTTTGGACAGAATATAAGGCCTTCAAGCTTTGAAATCTACAGCCAGAAATTGAAATCGGTAAGATTGGCATGGAGGGCCCTGCTAGGATGCCCTATAAGTGGCGTGACCTCTAGTTGCGCCCGAATGCTTGAGAGAGAGTTTAAGAGTTCTCTGATGTCCAAAACAATGAAATACAAAGAAGGTTTCAATTCCATGAAGAAAAAAAGAGCCAACCTTCTATAAATCATGGCAAAGGGTGGTAGCTCCTTGTAGAAAGATACTAAATGACTGTTTTGTATCCTGCCAATCAGCAGTGTGGAAATACTATTCTAGGGCTTCTAGAAGGCGTGAGGGAACATCAAAAAGGCAATAGGGAAGCTGTAAGATGGCTAACGAGAGTGAGAAGAGGAATGGTGGCTGAAATTCAGCGCGAACGGCATGCCGGCGGGGGCAACAAATAGAAGTGGAGAGAGAGCAGTTTTATGCTATAAACAATAGGTATCAGCAACATCAACGTCTGTCCAGTTGAAAATAACAGAAAAGCAGCGAAACGGAGAGGGTGATACACCACCTGTTCCTAAGCAAGGTCAAAACACACCACCTGCAAAAGAAAAATGATACAACACTCCTAAAGCTAAAAAACAATGAAAATATCTCCAAAATATATCAACAAAATAAAAAATCCTCAAAACAGTACAGACCCACATAAAAGTAGGTCCCTAATAGCAAGAACTCTGATTCTAAATAATGAAATAGAAAAAAATCAGAAAAAAAAAAGAAAAAGAAAAAAAAGGGAAAAGAAATCATGCAGAATCGCTAACGAGTGGCATCCCTGCTGATCCTCACTCTCGAGATTGCAGAAGTCCCACAGACTGTAAAATGGCAAAACCATGGGAGATCCGCTCTTCATCACTCTCCTCGGAAAGCAGGAGCTTCAACTTCATCCCAGGAAGTTTTTTGACCTGATCTACCACCATTATAATAAAGTCATTCCTTTGTTCTGTTTGAGAATCCAACCGCAAAATTTATGCTCATATCTATTTCATGCAACTCTTAAAAACATACTTCATTCCTAAAACTTTCTCGATAGAATAAATAGACATCCTTCTTTTGGTACAACCACAACTAGAATTGGACACGGATGGGCATTCTCATTGACCAAGACTTGAGCCATTAAATATATCACCTACTCCTTCCATTTCTTGTACTAGCATGGTGTACCCAATAAATAAGTCTATATGTAGAACCAACTCTAGCATAAAATTTATGGCATAATGAACTACTCTCAGTGGCAACCACCAAAGAGGTAAACTGTCGGTCAGGATATCATAACTCCTTCAACAAGAGTTGCACATTTTCTAGTATGGACTCCTTGAACTGCCTACCTTATAGAACAATCAATGTTAGTCATGTTGAAGCCTCTCACAGGCTTTAGCTTGAATCATTAGCATCTCTCCCTTATCGGCTGATAACTAATATTCGTCTCTAAAGTCTCCATTCTCTCTTATATCGCTGTCAATTTCTTCAACTACTCCCTATTCAAAAAATGAGATCACCTTCCTATTTGGGCAACTAGATGCAATGCGTCCAAAACCATGACAGAAGAAACACTATTTGGTTGTGATGGATTTGTGAGTGCCGGTGGGTTCCACATTTTCTCCACTCTGTATTAGTATCTTCTCGGGCGAGGTTAGCTTGGTTGTTCCAATGGTGTACTCTTGCAACCTGATACTGGAATCAAACACTATCTATAAGGTGTGGCGATCACCTGGTGACATTACTATTTCTCTGCCTTTATATGTACATCGAGCAGAGACCAATACGGATGCAACTCCACCACATTACTAATAAATGACCTTAGCCCCCTAAGCTACCCCACTACTTTGTGCTCCTCTAATTCCACGAACTCACATTTCAACATGAGTTGACTAAATTCAAATGTGCATCCCTCCACAGAAAAAACTCTCTAACGCAAGTGGATTTTATAAACATATTCTGTTAGTAATGCAGGAGAAAGAATTTGCAATACAACCCTCTTTTCATCTTTTAGACCAAACGGTGATCTTAATATTCCCATTGCATTGTCGAATACACTTCAAATAGTCCCACCACAAAAAATTGTTCTTCCCAAGCTTGATAACTGCAAATTTAACTCTCTTATCAGATGGAAAGTCTTTGTACTCAAATATACATTCCACTGTTTGGAGATACTCGATAAATTCATCCAGATTCATAAGACGGTAAAAATTTGGTAAAAGCTACTCTAAGATCCTAGCTTCTCTAATATTTCAAATCAAATCGTTGGGGTATTGCTTCTTCATCACTAAAAACTTTCAAATGGAAATGATTCACTTTCTCCCTTTGATTTGGCGAGTCACCGTCGTGGTTATGGGAGATCTCACCAAGTTGTCTTCTCTCAATGGCAATAAGCCTTTGTTACAATTGAAGGATCTTTTGCTGCATATCCTCCATAGTGATCTCCTGAACACTTCATTGAGAGTTTCACCTTGGCGACATCTTTTTCTCCCGATCAAGTTTCGGTGGATGTAGGATTACAATCAAAGGTTGATTGATGGTGTAGGTTATGGTGGTAAGTTTCAGGATGAATTTTTGGTAAAGGTAGAAATGTTGGATTTTGAAAATTTAGACTTGGGGTAAGAATGGTGTGGGTATGGTGAGGATTTTCTTTTTTTGAAGAGATATTAGGTTAGGGTTTATTTATTTATTTATTTTATTTTTTGAGGATTGTGGCAGAAAGGATAAATCCCTAAAAAATGAGGAACTGTCGGGTTCTAATACTAGATGAAACTGTTCTAAGGCTCCTGGAGAGTATAAGGGAAAACTAAAAGGCGGGTAACTGGAGTGGGAGGACGAATGAGGCTGAAACTTGACAACTTGTGAAATGGAAGGAGAATAATGGCAGTTTGCTGCTATAAACAACATTCAACACCGTTTTCAATGGTTGTCCAGTTAAAAAAATGGACAAGCGATGAAATGAGGTGGGAATAGCGAGGGAAATCAACCAATTATTCTTGAGAAATATACAAACACACCACTTGCAAAAGAAAAAAAGTACAATACTCTTAAAGTAGGAAATAAAAGAAAACATTTTCAAAGTACATAAACAAAGTAAAATATCCTCAAAGCATTAACATATAAATAGGTCCCTCATAGCAAGACCCTAATTATACATAACTAAATAGGAAAAAAATAACAAAAAAGAAAAAGAAAGGAAAAAATCGTGCAAAAATTGCTAATGAGCGAGATCCACGCTAATCCTCACTCTCACGAGAGATCCATTCTACATCAAATGGGATGAGTTCTCACAAGTGATGTAAAACTATAACGAGCTGAAAACAGTTTAAAGTCAGTAGAGACCCTCAGGGTCTGTTATTCAAAATAATCACTCAACTTCCCACACAAACATAGCCAAAGAAAAGATGAGTTTATCGAGAACTGTTCCTAAAGAGATACTTCGACGCTTGAGTCATTAAATGAGATTGATAGCTTAGAAAATAAAGGTACAGTCGAGTTTTTACAAAGAGATTAAAATAATAGTATCATAGTGTACCTTGACAAATAAGAACATTGAATAGAGAGGAGGTCTCGCCTTCATGATCAAAAATACCTTTGGCTGAAGGTTATTTTTGTCTTCCAAATGATCGAAAGATTGAAAAAAAAAAAGATGCATTATCTCTTAGATTGGTGTAGAAGCATTATATCCTTTAGAGCAATGGATCTTAAATAATGTGCTTCATTTTGAGATGCGTGTCATCTGAGATTGTAATTAGGTACTTAGATGACTTTTAGATTGGAGTTCAGTTTGATAGGAGCTCAACCAATAGATCTTGGTTGATGTCTTAAGTTTGGTGTTTGATACTAAGGATCTAATTGAAGGGCCATGACATATCTTGATGTGATCTAATAGAAATGATATAGAGGAATGGATCATTGTTTTATTGAGCTCTATTTACACAAAGATCAAAGAAACTTGACTATTAGTGCCATTGTTTGGATGATCAAGATTAATTGAGACTTACAATTATACAGGAATCTATCACAAGTTATCCTATCTACTACTTAGCTTACAAAGGAAACCAGGCAAATGAAAGCCACCCGACCGACTCAATACAAGCATAAAAAAGATGAAGGTAACTAGCTGGCAGTGATGGTGCCATGCGGTAGAATAGACGTACTTGGTTTGCTTCTCTTTCATTTCAGTGTATGATGACTGAAGAATCCAAGTATCCTCCAAGAAATTGATCCATGTATGGACAATATCAGCTTCCACTTTACATGCCACAACAGATTTTGACAGTTCATCTTCCTGAAGTTTCAAAATCTTAGAACTTTCAAAGGGTCTAGAGTGCAAATTTTAAACGTTGCTTGTACAAAGACAAAAAAAACATGATTAAAAGTATGTCTAACCTTTGCTTTCAAGTGCAAAACAATTTTATCGCTTGCTTCATCAAACTGGTCTCTTTCCTCTCTGGTCTTATTAAGTCGTGAGTTAGCAGCGTTTAAGGAGATCATGACCTGATTTCCACAAAACAGATTAGGAAACTGTTTGAAGATACTAAAAGCAAGACAAAGTAAGAGTCATAAAAAGAAATAAGATTTCAACCCATTTCTAAAACTTTCAGTAAACACTTTTCTAATTAAAACAGCATTACAACTCAAGGTTTTATCAATATCAACTCCAAACTGGGAATGTAAATTTGTGTAATTAAGTTTTTCTTGCCACAGTTCTAACTAAAAACTAAATTCCAAAAAACTTTAAAGAGAAAAAAAAAATTAACATGAAAACTGGAAGCAATGAGTAGGAAACAAAAGCGTGAACTGATTACTTTCTAGGATAAGAATAAATGCTTTAAATAAATAATTTTGCCACAGTATTGCAACAATCAGCCAACGTTAAAATTACATGCAAAGCCCAACTTAAATCTCACTTTTATAAGATTGTAACAATCTAGACATAAGTGTTAATGAGAGACCGGAAGATAGAACAAGAGCAACACAGAGAAAGTGACTTTCGGGTAACGGTAGAATATAAGAAAAACAGAGCAACACAAAGCAAGATGCATACTTTTTGGGCTTTTGCATTACACGTATATATACACAGCAAATGAAACACATATACTAGAAATAAACTTCTTAAGCAACTAACCAAAGAAAAAGGTGCAAGAAATCAAAAACAATTTAGCGTACTGTAGACGTGATTCACAATTTAAATAACAAACTTGGATAGTATTTTCATGGTTGAATGCAGAATAGTCGAATGCAGAATAGTCTACTTTAATCATATTGTGATGAAGTTTTCAATCCTAGTGCAGCATAAAATCAAATCTAATCTAACATTTTTCAAAAAGAAACAAATAATTTAAGTCATAACTCCATAAGATTAAGTACATAGGCCCGGCGGTATCAGCCCAAACTCTTCAAGGGAGGTACAACAGCTTTTAAGGGCTAGGCGTTCAAAACTCCCCTATAATTGAACCCATGACTGAAAAAAATACTAGGAGAAACAAATGGTAATGGAGGAAGCATCTTGCCTCTCTCCACTTATGCAGGTAGGATGGATTTACTGATTCCCCTACCCCTCCCTATCCCTCCTCCACCCACTCCCACTTACTTTTCTTCATCCTGCGTTTCTTTAGCATTTTTTTTCTTTTAGTGGGTTGGGACTTGATTAGAAGGATAGTGAGCACCTTCTTCAGTTCAGCCTCCAGTTGATCTCTTTGCTTTTCCAATACAGCAATTTCAGCAATCAATTCCTGTAACAAGTAGAAGAAAATCACATCAGCAACTATTCATTTCTCAGACAACTTCTCAATTCTCAAAGCAAACAACAAATTTTCCTAAAACATAATGAAACGTCTTTTTTTCAGATATAAATCGGCAAATAAGGTCAAGGAGATTAGAAAATAAATGTGGAAACCATACTATTTCGATAAACAGGTAAATAAAAAATAAACCTTTAGGTCTTAATATAAGTTTCTCAACAGTGGTATTTATTATTGTCTTGACCTAGTTAAATAATATTTTCAGCTCTTCTACTTTTTAAAATACTAAAATCAAAATTTTAACGTTGCTATAACCACAATAACCTTCTTTACTCTTCAGTCAATCACATCCCTTGTGACTATAACCACAATATCCTTATTTGGCATATGTCAACTAATGGTTGTTATTTAATCATATATTTCAATTCATTCTTGACGGAGGATGATGCTCAATATTACTATGAACCTTGAATTTGAAAATCTATTGTTTACTCTAAGCCTATAGTATTTTGTAGGATTATATATATGAAAAAAATTCCTAACAAATTCTCTGTTTAACAAAGGCATCAAACAATAAACTAGTTGTGATATTTGCAATGATAATTTGAAAGAATATTTTCATATCTTCTTCATTGCTACAATATTTGGAGGATGTATGATATTTTTGGTATTAGATTTCTAGTTAATAATTTATTTCCTTTTTCACTTGGAGGATTAACTCGCCAAGGACAACTTCCAAGAACTCCGGGATGTTTACTTTTTTCTTTTCATTTCCATTATTTGGATTGAAAGAAAATCTAGATGCATTGCCAACAAGAAAAAGAACGTCCTATGGTTTAAAATCATCCTGCCCACATCTGGATCAACAGATCTAAATCGAAATGGCATTCAGAATAAGAAAATTATGAAGGAAATTCCACATTTCAACTAGCGATTAAACCATTAAAGCTTATCTCTAGCACCATTTAAGTTTTGTAATATTTCTCCTTCGTTCACGTTTTGGCATTGCTTTCTTTTGATCGTTGTTTCATATTAGCAAATTTACTCATCTTCACAGAGAGAAAAATTATTGAAAAAAATGCACTATTGAATATGTTATACTTCATACACATCAGCATGGCATAATGAACATAGAAAACACAACTGCAAAGCTGCGCATCCATCTATGTGTGACAAAAGGTGGCTTTAGTTCAACCAATAGCACAGCATAGCAACAAAATATTAAAAATGATTCCTTAGTCATCCTCATGAATATGCTAGACATGTAAGCTTTATTTAGTTTAACCAATAGCTCATAAGACAATCAATAAAACATTAAGAGGTTATTTGGTTGAGTAAATTTGTGGTGTACTGTAATTCTTTTATAGGGGTTTGAGAAAATTATATGCTTAATAAGAAGAATTACAAATACAAAGTAAATTAAGAATGAATTTGAAGTTTACATCGTTGTTCATTTTAGCTGAATTTAGAACCCGCCTGTACTGCCCCCCATCACCAGTTTTCTGTAGCCCGCCGCCCGTCGCCAGTCGTCCGCCACTGTTGGCCATCCACCACCACAAGCCGTCCGTTGCTTGCTGTCCGCCGCCATCATTGCCCTCCACCTCTTGCCACCGCTAGCAGCCCATCGCTCATCGCACGCCGCCGCCACAACTTGAGGCTCACTACCCGTTCTATGCGCCGCATCTAGCCTGCCTTAGCCGTCGGCCCTCCCTCGCAGCAAACCGCCGCCGCCTAACAGCCGTTGGTCGCCCACAACCACCTTAACTGTCAGTTTCCGCCACCGCCAGTCAAAAAAATTTATTAAATACATTATTTTAAATCTACTTCAAACCAAACAAAAAATAATAATAAATTCCAATGTCTATTTTACAGGAACCAAATAACTCGAAAGTATTTCAAATACATTGTAATTATAGTAGACAACAAACTTTTTACATTCATTTCATTTTCAGCAAATCAAAGAACACCTAAAAAAAGCCTTAGTTCTCATGGATTTGTTGGATATGCAAACTGGTGCAAATCCACATTTTGAGTTTGATTTATTTATTGGTGATGTTTTCAGTTCTTTGATTATTTTAGAATTTCTAGTTTTAATTTAATAGCTTTTAGCATGTCTCTAATGAAGATCTCTGCAGAAAATATAAAGCGTTATGATGATTCTTTCATGTTCTAGCCATTGATTGCCACACCTGCCTCTCGCCCCTCATTGCTTCTTGAGCATATACTATAACCAAAAAAAAAATCAATATATTGATTTAATACACCCCCTTACAAATCCAAACCCCTGTGTGGAGAATTTTCTATGTTGTTCTTCTAAACATATCTCTTCATGAAAACATTATATTACAAAGCTCTTATAGCTCAAATTCCCAATGTTATCTGATGCGGTAGCTTTCTTGCAATGTATTCCCGCGATACTGTAGTTGTTACAATATCGAGGGATTCAAAATCGCAGAAGATGAGAGACGAGCCATCAAAATAGTTTTATTTTCCTTATGCTTTCTTTCTTATTATTTTTCATTCATTTTTAGTATTTTCCTATATATGTGTTGTATTACAGTTTAAAAGTCAGTTTTTAGGGTATGCTTCTGTTCATGATAGTCATCGATTGCCGGTATTCCACTTCTAGGGTTGTTTCGAAGGCAAAAATGTGCTCTAACTGTAACTTGTTCGAGCTAGTGACGGTCTTCAAAGGTTCAAGTGGTGCTCTGGCTATTGCTCGATCCTGCGGGGATATTTATCCTTACCCAAATCCTTTATAACATTTCCAAATATCGCCCTCTCTACAGCAGCCCCTGGACATCCCTCCCCTTTGTTGTCCCGCAGTCCAAAATCCTTCCCCTTCGTTGCCCTCATTGTGCCAATCACCTGCTTCGCTGCTTTCACTGTCCAATAGCTCCACATTCACTGTCGCAGCCCACCAGTCCTTCCTTTTATTGTTTTACCCGTCGCGCACCATCCGACATCACTCACGCAGCCCTGCAAGCCCTTCCCTTACTGCCATATCGCTGCCCAACCATCCGGCAATGCTGTCGCAACATCACAGCTCCTCTTCTTGCAGTCGTGAGCCACCCCGATTCTTCGAACGCTCTGCCACCACTTCCCTACTACAGCCACCTCACCCTACCCTTCGGTCGCCCACTTTCTTGGCTTCCGACAACCAACCACAGTCGTCCCTTGCTGCCTTAAGATCATTCCCCCACTTCCATGCGAGTTTTTCCTCCGTAAAATGCAACATCACCTCTCTCGATCTAATCCCTAAATGAGTCGTGTTGTCTTTGATATTTCCTAGTTTCAAGTATCTTTGCTTGTAACCCTATTCGCTTTCTCTTTTATGGGTTAACTTCGGTATCATTATCCTTTAGAATCACTATGCTAAGTCCAGAAGTGCCAAGAAACTAACCCTTAGTTTTGAAATACCCTTTACAACTTAAATCACTATACTCTCTCTCTATCTCTCTATCTCTCTCTTTGCAGCACTTCTTAAATCGGGAGAATGCCCGCTACAGTAATGGGAGATGAGCCAAAATAGTCATGTTCTACTTTTTTATGCTTTCTTTCCAGTTATCATTCATTCTTTTTTAGACCATCCTTATATCAGTATTATATTAGGGTTTGAAAGTAAGTTTTGCTTCATTTTCAGTCAAGATAGTTGTCAACGCCTCGATTTCTCCCTTCTAGGACTATCCAGAGGCGACAAGGTGCTCCTGTTGTAACTCATCATGAGGTATTGTGTATCTCTTGTTCCCTATTTCCCACAACCTTCCCTCCCCTGCCGTTGTCACTGTGTTTACTGCAACCGCCCGGAAAACAACCCCTTTACTGTGTTTCTGCAACTGCCTTCCACTCAATAACCTTCAATCTTGCTGCCATACGTTCCAGGCACCTCCCACCTTGTTGCCACCCTTTTCTAACCGCCTTCCTTGCTTCCATGAGCCATCTCGACAACACCCTGCCATCACCTCCCTGTTGCAGCCACTTACCATCCCCGCTGCTGCCCACCATCCAACGATCCGACAAACAATCACTGCCTTCCATTGTTGCCTTCCCACTATCCAGGCCTCCATACTTGTTATTTCTCTTAAAACTGCAGCACCACCAACCTCGACCTAATCTCTACTTGAGTTTGTGTCGTGTCTTTTGCTATTTTCTTATTTCGAGTGTCTTTGGTTGTAATCTCTATTTGATTTCAGTAATAAAGTTGCCTTTCCGTTATACATTTGGGGTTAATTCTAGTATCACTTCTATAGTGGGATTGCAACTAGAATAGCCCATGTTGCCCTTCAAAACATGCTTGCAAAATCAAAGGTTTCAAGAACTCCCATTAAACCCAAATGTCAGCATCTATTTTCTAAATTAATTGAATGATATTAAGGTTGGTAATTTATAACATTTATGATTTAAATTAATCAAATAACTTTAAGTTAGTTAAATTATTGTTGTGAATAATTTAATCCACTTTTTATGTTTAATTAGATTTATGAATTCTTAATTAATGCTTAAGTAAAATATTATGTTATATCAATTATAGTAAATTATATAAATCAATGAATAATAAATTACTAATTAAAGACTGTTTAGTCTAAAAAATATAATTAAATCTTAATTAACTTAATAAACTGTTAATTAATAATTATTATGATTAATAAATATAAAAAAATAAATTAATTAAACTACAAAATTTAAATCCTAAAATAAGTAATCAAACAATTTCACAATATTTAAAAAAAATAAAATACATCATGCCAATAAATTTTTGGGATTTAACCAACCCATGATTTACTAATTTCAAATATATAGGATTTACAAAATCCTACTTAAATGCCAGAGGTTGCAAACATCCCCTAAATGTTAATCAGGATAAAAAAAAGTTTTAGCATGAATGAACTCAAATAGAGGTTAATGAGCAGCATTTGGCTCAAATTGAGATTGAAACGAGCCAACTTAAGATAAACCTCGCCCGGCTCAGAATTAATTTGAATGGCTTCAAGTCGATCTTGAGTTACTCAAAATCAAATTGTTAACAACCCTAATGGAAAGGGTTATCTTGATAGCTCAACAAAATCCTGTCAAAAAGATTAAAATGTCATGCTTCTACTACTTTTACTTAATATTCACATTTAATTTCATCTTCATAGAATCTTGTAATGTACATAAGTGGGAAATCTTCCCTTTCTTTATAAGAATTAGACTCCAAACTTAACATCAAACCAAACAAGAAAAAAGTTTCACAAATTTTACTTTGCTTTTGTATGGTGATGGATTTTTAAAATGCATGCATTCTTATTGAATGCAACAAAACAGCCATTAATGCTATTGATACTGCATAATGTGAACATCTTCTACCAACAGTTGCTTCAAATTTACTGCTAATCCCGATATAAAGAGTCAGATTTCTGAAAATGAAGTTTTATTCTCTATTGGATTTTTCTACAGTTCTACAAATTGTGCACGGCACTGAGGCCTGTATAAAAATCTGAAATTTCATTTTAAACCCTTGATCGATTAGATTCTAAAACAAAAATATTCCGTAACGGATTTTTTTTCTATAGCAGAATTCCCACCTCAGACAACTAGGGAAAACAAGGATGGAATTGAAGCATTGTTGATGCCTTCTGTAAATTCATGAATGAAAGCATGGAAAATCATTTCTCAGCCTTCACTTTTACCAAACCTTCTATGGGATTATATTCCAGGACCGCTCAGACAATGCCGATTAAACATATTGCAGCTCAACAAAAATAGTTATAAAAACCATCATACTTTTCAACATCTTTAAATAGTTACGTGCTTGCTACTATGAGAATATTTGGATGGAAGGAATGGTAGAAACTTCAAATATAATCCAATAATGTAAACTCCTTTGCAAATAAAAATCCTAACATGACTAGACCGGATGCCTGCTTCAGGAAGTCTGCAAAAGTATCAAGCTTGCTATTACTGACTTTAATAGGGAGAATCCTAAAACCAGCTCATTCTAGAAGACATGAAACTATAACATATTGAGCTTGGGACATGATCTACTTTGATAAGGATTCCTAGTTTATTTCTCTTAGTTTCTAAAGTACTTCTTTCAGTAATAAAACTATGTCAACTGATACTTGCTTTGCATTTGCCAACTTTTGCTATTGCATGCTTTTATATAATTTTCATCTTATCCCCTCATTCCTGTCTTAAGAAACTCTTCCGTTTTCCCAACACATGACAGGCAAGGTATTGCAGGTTTTCTAGAAATTTTGATCCAAGAAGATAATCAATAAAAGGTTCATGATTATGTTTAGCAGAATCAACAATGAGCCATATTCTACAATGGGCCATATTCTACAAACTTACTAAGAACTTCAAATGAAAAGCAAACATGCAACAATAACTAGGAAACTAAAGTATACCATCAGACGTATACCTTTTCAGTTTCACATACTTCATTAGCTTTAGACGCACGAAAATTCAGCGCCTCTTCCTTTTGATACCTAGAAGATTCGAATAATCTTTAGAACTAAGTAGAGCTGCACAATTTGCATACTATGAGAAATAATAAGTGCAAATAATCTTTAGAGCTTGTTTAAAATGCAATTTGAGAATATGCAATAGAGACACAAGTTGCAACAAAAAATCCAACGGATAGTGTTATGAACAAGTCTGGATATAAAAGCATTATACCAAGTAATATGGCTAGAAATTATATAAAAATAATTTGTACATGGTGAAATTAACACCAAAAATAGGACTAAAGAATGATAAAGGAGAAATATCCTAAAATCTGCCTGAAATAACAGAAACAAGGTTAATGAAGATCATGATGATAGAGGTAAAAAAAATGATTAAGATTAGCTTCAGGTTCAAGTTATTTCTTCTAAAGGAAAATATATAGTAATCTATCATCTTCAATAAAATAGAACTTTATAGCCCATGCCAGATTCTAGGTAAGTAAATAACCTCAACATCATTCCAGTTCCAAAACCATTTGCAATAAATCTTATTATTGCAATTCTTATTCGGTGATAATAATACTAATCATCATAAGAAAAGGCAGCTACTCATATCAATATGCACTGACCTTCAATAAGGATACCACACTCTGAACATCTTGCTAAAATTTTTTCCCAAAGCAGGAGCAAACGACACTTCCTAAATTGTTGGTGCTTAGTGCTTGTTTTTGAGGCAAAAAACTTCCAAATAAGATAGCATTCTTTGCTTTCTCACTTAAACCTCCCACCACCTATCCTCAGACATTGTCATAGCATCATCAACTATTGTTATTTATTCGACATGTGTGTTACATTTCAATTTTGTTCAGGTATTTTTGCACAGTTTCCAATCATGTTACCTTTCCCCTCCCTAAAGCCTTCCACCTTAATTATATTTAACCTCCTCCTCTTTAGCAGTACTAATCCCACCATCACTCAAATATAATAATCAATTTATCATTCCTAACAGTTTCCAATCATGTTACCTTTCTCTTCCCAAAGGCCTTCCACCTAATTATATTTAACCTCCTCCTCTTTAGCAGTACTAATCCCACCATCACTCAAATATAATCATCAATTTATCATTCCTAATATTACCATACATCTATCTCAACACTCATTATAGCCTCATACATCTCCCTCTTTCCTTACTTGCACCAAAATCAGCGAGTATTATACAATTCACTAGTTCAAGTAAGTTAACAGAGTAAGTAAACTGATAGATCTAAACTACTATTTCTTCTTTTTATCTATAATAGTTAAACAAAGCTGCATTTGGAAAACCCCTGGATATATTCTATAACTACGAATTCAATGTGAATCCATATTGCTAAAAAAAAAAGAAGTCCTTCACATTCTTTAAGTTCTCTCACTGGATGTCTTAATCTGAAGCTATTGGGAATCTTCTCAGGCAAAAAAGAAAATTAATCTTCCTCATTTTCCACTGTTTCAAAGGACGATGAAGAAAGTAAAACTCTATGATAATAAAGTTGTTAAGAAGCACCTTTATAACAGCCACATAATAGAGAGAACAGAATAAATTCTGCAAGGTAAGCTTTAGCTACTTCATAAGCCAGGTCTCAATGACAGTTATGATTGAAAAAGGGAAATGGGTAAAGAAATTGATGACCTTGATCATTAAGCTAAATCAATCACCGCAGGTTCAACCGGATGACCTAATAAATCATAAATGTATTTAAAAATGACAATAAATAAGAGTTACATACCACTCAATTCCTATGTAGTTAAATATCTAACACCTTAAATTCAATTTTAGCACATATCATTTTAACTATGCATGAAACATGTATTTTATTTTTTTTAAATTAAAATAATGATATGTTTTATGTGATATGGATAATTTGCATGGTATAAATGTAAAAGAATAGAGTTTGTGTTAGATAAACAAATAAATAAAATTGGGTGATATGTATGTAAATTGAATTTCTTTGTAATACAAACTAAACGGTTTCTTAGAATCAGAGCAGGTTCGTTGGTTTTGGGGTTGAATAGCCAGTTCAATGCAGTTCTGGGTGGTTCCATATGAGGGGTATTTTATGCCAACCGGTACTGGATCTATGACCTGTTCACAGTCGAACTGGCCGGTCCGGTCCGGTTTTCTAAACATTGGCTCTCTCCACTTCAATATCTTACCATTTCCATTTTTCCTTATATTAGCTATTTTGGGTTCCACATGAAGTTAATACATGAAAATGTAAAGAGAACACTGCAGATAATGTGACTTGGAAATATCAAGTCATTAATTAAGAAGTCAAAGAATAAAAAATTCAGTGAAAGAAAAGATTCAAAGCATAACATATAAACTTAGTAGGGGCAATAAAATTTATAGAAAATGGGGGAAAAAAGAACTAACTTTCACAATGAATAATTTATTAAAAAAAGTACAAACAATTATTTATTAAAAACTAAGCTCAATAAATATGCTATAGAAGTAAAAAAGATGACGCAATAAAAATTTAATATATAACTTGTTATCTAAAATACGCTTTTCTGCCTTTGAGGAAGAGTTGGCCAAGGATTCAGCCAGAACTTTGAGCTTATCGACCTGCAAATTAAGGGGATACAATTATAAGAAGGAAATTTTATCGCTAGAAAGCAAAATCATTTATTAATAATAAAAAAAAAAGCAAAGCAAATTTTGACAAAAAAAAAAAATTATTAGACAATTTTTTATCTGGTGGTCATTATATCGAAGAAGAATATTGCAAAGCTGACAAACAAAAGTGCATGATCCAAGATTAAGTTCTTCCAAGGTTAAAAAAATCATTCCCTAAATTTTTTCCTCAAAAACTATTTGAATCCTATGGGTAACAGAGGCAAAGTTACCAAGGAGTCCTTGAGCAGCAGTGGAAGGCCAAATCTCTGAACGAAAATTGGCAGTTATATACTAACAATGAACGGAAAGATCGGTATATGTTGCAAACGAGTTGAAATAGAAGAACACTAGGATTTTACAGGGTCCTCCCCTTGGTTTCTTACCATGAACCTTGGTTAGGAGAAATGATTAAGAGAAAAAAAGTTTTCATATTGATCCAAATATGCTGCATTAGACTATAATATTTAAGTAAAAATTAAGTCATCTGTTGAAAAAATTTCTCCAAAAAAAATAGACATAGCCAAATCAAATCAATTTATAATTTTTAATGACAAACAAAAAGTCATCGCAAGGCTATGTGTAAGGTAGGCACTGTATTTCCCATGATAATGATAGTAAATGTTTTTTAAGTTCGTAACCCTACGCAGTTGAAGCTGAATTCCATGTGCCGAGTGCCAAGATTCCCTACAGCTCAATTTAGAAGTTTACAGCATTATTTCAATGACAATCAGATACAGAACCACGTTAGGAAAAAAAAACATGATAGAGAAGTGTCGGCCGTTTTATTGTTCAACTTTCACTTTCGTAGTTTGAAAAGGTGATGATTTTGGGATTTTGAAAATAATTTAAATATAAATATAACTTTTTTAAAGAAGTAACGTTTTTTAATTTTTAAAATAAGTGAGACCAAACGAGTCTCACATTTTCAAATAGTTTAGATGATTTAATACAATACTACAAGTAATACACTTATCCCGAAGAATAAATATATTACTTGTAATAGAGATTTAATCATCTAGACTAAACAATTTGTGACATCCGTTTTGATCTACGAAATATTTAATAAAAAGACCAACAAGTTCCCCTATCTAACATAAAAATTAGATAGGGTTTATTTTATCTAGGTTCCTGGTTCCCTATAGAGGCAAGCCCCTATAGTTAATTACATCTTAAATGATCGAAATCACTTAAGATAACTCTCGATTAAGATCAGGTGGTTTTGCTTTCAAGATTTCAAAGTTTAGGTTTTCACGATTGGACATGGGAAAATCAAATAGGAATGGCTCAAAATAGGAACAATTATTTAAGGAATTCAAAGGGAAAAAAAGTAGGGGACATCACAGATCCAGGAGAAACCCCAGAGATGTCCCAACTATCCTATTGTTCGGCTTTATGTCTTTGAAATGATGATTATTTGATATTTCAATCCTGCAAATCATTTAGGATTTAGTACTTATGTTTACACAATATCGGACTGTGCAAATAGCCTAAAAAGATAGGAGGATTTACA